ATAGGTGGTTACTAAAATTTTTTGTATCTGTGGAAGTTTGTTACCGAGTATGTGATCAATTTTTTGAGAAGATTCCATGTGGTGCTGAGAAGAAGGTATATTCTTTCCTATTTTGATGGAATGTTCTATTTATGTCTGTTAAATCCATTTGATTCCTTACCTCCATTAGTTCTCTTATTTCTCTGTTAGGTTTCTGTCTGATTGGCCTGTCCATTGGTGAGAGAGGAGTGTTGAAGCCTCCTACTATTAGTGTGTGGGGTTTGATATGTGCTTTGAGTTTAAGTAATGTTTCTTTTATATATGTAGTTGCTTTTATATTAGGGGCATAGATATTCAGGATTGAGACTTCATCCTGATGAATTGTTCCTGTTATGAGTATAAAGTGTCCATCTCCATCTCTTCTGATTGATTTTAGTTTGAAGTTCATTTTGTTAGCTATTAGTATAGCCACACCTGCTTGTTTCTTAGGTCCATTTGGTTGAAAAACTTCTTCCCAACCCTTTACTCTAAGTAAATGTCTGTCTTTGTGGTTGAGGTGTGTTTCTTGTAAGCAGCAGAATGTTTGATCCTGCTTTCGTATCCATTCTCTTAACCTGTGCCTTTTTTATAGGTGAATTGAAACCATTGATATTAAGTGACATTAATGACCAATGGTTGTTAACTCTGGTTATTTATTTATTTTTGGTGGTAGAGTTTGTATGTTTCCCTTCTTTGGGTTGTGCTTGTGGAGGGTTGTTAGATGTCTAAGTTATTGTGGGTGCTGTTGGGTTTCTTGTGTTGTGATTCTCCTTCTGTTACTTTTTGTAGGGCTGGGTTGTGGCTACGTATTGTTTAAATTTGTTTTTTTCCTGGAATACCTTCTTTTCTCCATTGATGGTGAAAGAAAACTTGGCTGGGTATAGTAGTCTAGGCTTACATCCATGGTCTCTTATTTTATGCAGCACATCTATCCAATACCTTCTGGCTTTCATAGTTTCCATAGAGAAGTCAGGTGTAATTCTAATAGGTTTACCTTTATATGTTTCTTGACCCTTTTCCTTTGCCATTCTTAAATTCTTTCTTTATTCTGTATGTTTTGTGTTTTGATTATTATATGGTGAGGTTTTTTTTTTTTTTTTTTTGATCCAGGCTTTTCGGTGTTCTGTATGCTTCTTGTACCTTCATAGAAATATCCTTCTTTAGTTTTGGAAAGTTTTCTTCTATAATTTTGTTGAATATATTTTCTGGGCCTTTGAGTTGTAATTCTTCTCCTACCCCTATTATTCTTAGGTTTGGTCTTTTCATGATGTTCCAGATTTCCTGGATGTTTTGCATTAAAAATTTTTTGGATTTGCTGTTTTCTTTGATCAATGAGTTTATTTCCTCTATAGTATCTTCAGTGTCTGAGATTCTTTCTTCTATGTCCTGTATTCTGTTGGTTATACTTGTCTCTGTAGTTCCTGTTCATTTACCCAGATTTTCCATATCTAGCCGTCCCTCAGTTTGTGTTTTCTTCATTTACCTCCATTTCAGTTTTCAAGTCTTGAACTGTTTCCATTACCTGTTTTTTTCTTTTTCTTGGCTTCCTAGGGTATCTTTGAGGGATTTATTCATTTCTTCAAACTTTTTGTTATTCTTCTCATCCATTTCTTTAAGGGAGTTTTTCACATTCTGTTTAAGGGACTCTATCACTTTCATAGTATTACATTTAAAGTCTATTTCTTCTACATCTTCTGGATACTGTGTTCAAGTCTTCCTGTTGTATGTTTGCTGGATTCTGGTGTTATGTTGTTTTTCAGATTGTTGGAGGAATTCTTTTATTTATTTATTTATTAAAAATTTCCACCTCCTCCCCACCTCCCTTTTCCATCCCCCTTCCCACCACCCTCTCCCTCTCCAGTCCTAAGAACAGTCAGGGTTCCCTGCCCCTTGGGAAGTCCGAGGTCCTCCCCCCCCCCATCCAGGTCTATGAAGGTGAGCATCCAAACAAACCAGGCTCCCACAAAGCCAGTCCATGCAGTAGAATCAAAACCCAGTGCCATTGTCCTTGACTTCTCAGTCAGCCCTCATTGACAGCCACATTCAGAGAGTCTGGTTTGATCACATGCTCCACCAGTCCCAGTCCAGCTGGCCTTGGTGAGTTCCCATTAGACCAGTCCCACCGTATCAGTGGGTGGACGCACCCCTCACAGTCTCCCTCCTTCTGCTTCTCATTTGGACCTTGGGAGCTCAGTTCAGTGCTCCAATGTGGGTCTCTGTCTCTATCTGTTGGAGGAATTCTTGCATTGGTGCCTACCTATCTCTTCCTTCAAATGCCCTCCAGAAGGATGGATCTTCTGGTACAGGATCTGGGCCACTTGCTGCCCAGGGACCTTGTAGGCAAAAGGGCATGCTTGCTGGGTGCAAGCTCAGTGTGACAAAGAAACTCCTGCAGCAATTGCCCTCACCACTTTGTCCCCACGAAGCAGACTGAGTTGGGGGATCCTATGACCCCGCAGATGGAAAGGGGTGCTTGGGGGGCAAGCTGAGCTCCGTTTCCGGGGTGTCCACACATTAACTTTATTGTATGACTCTCTATACTCATTTTTTCTTTTCTCTCTCAAGCCTATGTACATTTATCCAACACTGTGACCCATTTTTATGTTTTTTATGTCTGAATCTGTCCTTATTGCATTGTCTGTGATTTTCTACTGTCTAGAAGAGCTTTTAAAATGCTAAACAGTTTATAATTTAATAAAATTTACTTTAAAAAAAAATAAAATGCTAAACAGCTTGGTTGCAGTTGCTCTGGATGTTGGTTCTGCCTCTCTCCAATTTTAAAATGGTGGAAGCACCACCAGCGCTAGCTGTTGGGCCACCAGGCAGGAGCTGTGCTCAGCAGTTCAACCCCAAAAATGAGCGTGCAGCACATAAACTCTTTTTATCTGAGTTACAGCCAAATCGGCCATGCAGAGCACTGCACAGCCTGGAAACATCTCTCTTTATGGCTGCGGGAATCTGCCATGCTTTCTCGCCTGCCCAAGCCTAGTAGACCTGATCCCATCACCTGCCCAGGCAGGAAGAGCCGAGACACAGGCATGGTCTCAGCTACTTTTTTCCTGACTATGAGTGGGCACACAAACACACGGGCCCACAAATGCCCCATAGCCGGAGTTTGCACCCGCAGCAGGGCCCAGGAAGCCTCGTTTTAAAATGGCGCCGCTTTTTTTTAATGCTGCTGCTGTTAAGTCAGGAAAATTTCTCTATGGCACACCACCAGCAAACAGCAAAAAGCTGTGTTAAACTCTGTGTATGTGTGTGTGTTTGTTTAAAATTAAGCTCTTTCAGGTTTTTACATGGAGTTAGTTGGCCATGTTGGGTCACCAATTGTATGAGGAGGGAGTCCCATCCACCTGGCTAGTTTACACTCAAAATAACCACACAGAAACTGTATTAATTAGATCACTGCTTGGCCTATTAGTTCTAGTTTCTTATTGGCTAATTCTTACATCTTAATTTTATCCATTTCTATCAATCTGTGTATCACCATGAGGTCATGGCCTACCAGAAAAGTTTCAGCACATCTACCTCTGGCCACAGATTCATGGCATCTCTCACTCTGCCCTTCTTCCTCCCAGCATTCAGTTCTGTTTTCTCCACCTACCTAAGTTCTGCCCTATCAACGAGGCTAAGGCAGTTTCTTTATTCATTAACCAACGAAAGCAACACACAAACAGAAGGACCTCCTACACCATCTTCTCACCTCAAATGATCAATGAACTGGATTTAGGATGAGTCTTCTTATGTCACATGATTTAGTTAAAAGTATTCCCTCAGAATTGTGCCCAACTGCCTGGTTTTAGTTAATTCCAGAGGTAGTCAAGCTGACAGCCAAGAATGACTATCACAGAGCTCGCTTTGTTTGTTTGTTTGTTTCCTACTAAGCTAGGAAGTCAGCAAGCTCCATCGGTCCTCCTTTCTCCACCGTGCTCCTTCAGTGCTGGGATCTGAGTGCTGCCTCTCATGCTTGCACAGAGACTTCTCTCAAACACTGTGTCGTCTCCTCACCCACAGATCTCTGCTTTACTAGTAACATGTTTTGCTGTTTCTGTTGCAGTCTTTTGAGAGTTCAGTGACTTGTACCCTTTGCTGATATGAAGTCCGTCCTTTCATGGCTAATTTTGACAGGTTATCTAACTTTTTCCCTAGTAACATGTTTATATTTGGTGTCTCAAATGGAGGTTGGGCTTTGGAGATGGGCAGGAGGATCATGAGTTCAAGACCACTCTAGATAGTATAATTAGACTGAAAAAACACTATCAATGCTGGGGCAATAGCACAGTCAGTAAATTTCGTACCCTGAAAGCCTGAGCATTTGAGCAAAAACCCCCATAACCCATGGGAAAGTAGGAATATCAGGATAATGCTTGTCAGCCCAACTAGAAAAGTATTAGATCTTGTTGCTGATTGACCGCTATCGTATTCATTGATCTCCTGGTCATTGAGAGACATTTGTCTCCAGAAGAAAGCTGGGTGGCTCCTGAGGAAGGAGCACCAAGGTTGACTCTAGGACTTTACTTGGGTGTACACACTTGCACACTTACATGCATGCACCCATAGGAATGTGTACAGAGACTATATTAGATATATTAGAAACATGAAGGAACTGTAATGTTTAGTCAGTGTTTCTAAATACAGTTCATCCTCTTGAACTGAAATTCTGTGACCCTTTAACATTGTTCTCCTTCTCCCCACCTCCAAGCCCTAGAAGCCTCTGCTCTCTCTAGTTATATGAATTAGCCAGTTCTAGGCGCCTCGCACAAATAGCATCATGCAATGTTCTTCTCTTCCTGGCTTACATCACTAATCACTCATCATGTTTCCAAAGTTCATTTGGGCTGTAGCATGTGCCAGAATATTCCATTGCCTGTGTAATCCAAATTTCATGTGTACTCTTATTTGACTGGTCCCATTCTGTTTCATTTTAAAGGAACTTTCAGGAACCAATAATTAAATGAATTATCTTTTCATTTATTATCCAGGTGGCAAAGCTGAGAAAGCCTATTTCTCCTACCTACTGCATCCTACACATGGTCACTATGGATTGCTAGGACAGTGAGTGACAAAGTTGAAATGCCAAGTGGCTCAGAAAGGACCACAAGCCTCATCTTCTCTGTGTCCTGACTGCAGACATGGTCTTTATTTCTTCTTTGATGTGTACACAGAAGAGAGCTGTGCCCTGTTTATGTGGATGAAACCTTCTACGTGGGCAAGTCAAAAGTTGTTAGTTTAAAAAAATCCAGTTTTATAATGAGAACATGAGAAAAATTCTAAGTCATTGGCATCCTTCCATGAGGCTTTCTTTCTTGATGGTACCACAGAGGTGGTATAAAGTCTTTTCCAACTTCTGGTCACAGCTGACTGGATGTTGAGGTCATGGAATTTAGTGTTCACCTGACTGGAGGAGCATTATTTCTGGATGTGACCATGAGGAATTTCTAAGGAAACTGGTATGTATGTGGGTGCCTGGGCTCTGTGGGCAAGGTCCACTCTCAACTCAGGTGGACAGTGTGCAGCCAGCCGGGAGCTGCAGGGAAATGAGAAAAGATCTTCTCTGTGTCTCTCCTGGAACAGACATGCTTTTCCTTTGTCCTTAAGACTCCAGGTCTGCGAGGTTCTGGTATCTGGGTTGTGGAAATGTGCTGAGTCCTCAGATCTCTGGTCTCAGACTGAGGCTTACACAGTGGTTTGTCTGTTCTGTGCATTTCGGACATAGACTGAGCCCCTCTCCCAGTATTCCAGAGCTCCCTCCACCTTGCAGAAAGCCTGTTATGAGGATGCTCAGCCATGTAGGCCACTTCCTCTAAGAGCTGTTGGCTCAGAGGAACTTCATTTATATTTTAAACAATGCTGGGGCCAGACTCAGTGCCAACACAGACTGTTCTCAAGAGAAGATCTCCACAGTAAGTCTCCTCTAAGGCAAAGCGTAGGAGTGTGGCAGTCTATTGAGAGCCAGAAACTACATGGCGATCAGTGTGCATCTGCAGCCTGGAAAAGCTGCACGCTGAGATTCCCAACTGTGCCAGCAGCTGGTGGACCAAGACACACAAAGCCATAGTAGACAGGGTTCTGGGCTTGATTGGTACTAGTCACCTCCTTCTGGCTTGTTTCTCACTTCTGATTGGTACTGAACATTTTTCCCCTGAACCTCCATTAATTTTGAAAGTGTGAAGATTGCAAAGTGCACAGCCTCAAAGCCAAAGAATGCTGATTCTCACCTGTATCTGGAAGTGTATGGATTGCTGACTTCACAGGCTCCCAGATGAGATGAGGACCACCTCTGCATAAGAATTTTCCAAGTCAGGAGCAGTTGTAATTTTCTTGGCCTTGTTAACACTTATTATAACATACCCTTTATAACCAGAGTGGCTGGTGCTAATATGTTGGAGGCCACCTCCTTTAGAATAATGCTTCTCCATCCAGAAAGGGCACTGTTGATAAGCTGAAGCCACACCTTTTTAAATGGCACTATTCCTAGTCCCAGCTACATCTTCACAGGCATCTTCTACATCATGTAACAGAAGTGGATTGTTGAGGTGTTTTCTATACTGGAGCTTCAGTCTCAGTGGATGATCATGCTGTAGTGAAGCCTACACAGTGATTTTCTGCATCAGTCACCACTGGCCTAATTGGACCAGACTCCACCTTGATGAAATACCTAGACAATTTTTTAACTTTTTCAGTTTTCACCAGAGGGCAACATCCTGGGCCACTTCCCCTTCTTTCTTCTGCAGAGAAAAAGAAAAGTTCTTAGGCTTATAGTTCATATATCAAAAAAAAAAGTCTCAGCATGGCTATGAACCAAGGTGTAGTTTTGCTCTGGTCTGATTCACTAGCACAGAATCCATACTCTCCAAGAGCCATGGAGCACTGTTACCACACCCTTACTGATATAGCCTGTCTTTAGGAACAGTGAAGTCAATATTTCTAATACCCCACTGTACTTTTGTGTGTGTGTTTGCATGTTTTTGTACAGCTCAGTTGTCAATCTTTAATTGTGGACTACCTTGGTTTTGGGAGTAGAATCTTTTATCGGTATTGAAACTTACCCATTTAATTATGCTTGACGGCCATCATATACCAGGAATCAGCCTGTCTCTTCCTTCCCAGTGCTGGGAGTCCAAGTGTGTACCACCATCCCACTGTATTATATTATCATCAGCATTGCTGACACTTGGGTTCAAGGCCCCGAGCTCAGGTTCTCACTCTGCATGACAAGCACTTTTTATAGACTGAGGGTCTCTTCGGCCTTCACTTTATGCATTCCTGAAGTCTTGGTGCTCCTTCATTGTCTGACAACCTGTCATCTACAGTTCCGTTGTGTAGCTATGCCGAAATGTATATTCTATATCCCAGGCAAGTATGACAATAAATGTCACCCCAGCTCATCGGCAGTCTCTAGTGAATTTGAACTGAAAATAAAGCCTGCAACATTTTCCTGGTGCTCACTTCCAGTGAAATTTAAAATTTAAAACACCACAAAATATCAAGTAATCAACTCCCTCGGCTCAGGCTTTTTGAGATGTATACTGCAGGGCTGCTCAGCCCTCTACTGACTGCACAACAGAATACCTTACAGAACAGCTTACAGAAGACCTCAACAAACAGCCGTAAATTAGTGTGGAGTTGCCTACAGTGTGTTTGTCTAGCTAGGGAGCACTGCTGAGCCCTACATGTTTCTCCTCGATCTAAAAGTAACTATTCCCAACAAGACACTATGCATAGCTCTGGGAAGATCACTGACTACAGATGGGATAACCAAATGTGATCAAAACTTCTTGCTCCAGCCCTGTGAAAAACTTTATTTTCTAGTGAGAATGTTCACTGGGGGCAGTGTGAATACAGCAGAAAGGTCGCAGCTGTCTGTCCCCCAGTCACCCTCTTGTACACGTAGGTGGAATCTGTAAGAATCCTTCGTATCACTATTGGCCATTTTTTTTTTTGAGTTACTGGCCTCTGTGTCCCCAAAATGAACTGGTTCATTAAAATCACAGACTCCATTGGTACAGCCCAGCACAGGCTGAGTAGCCAGCACACGGTCCTCTGTCTCTGTGATCTCCACACTGACCTTGCTGTCGGATGCTGTTCATATTCCTTGGTGTATCACTTTAGGTCACATTTCAGGCTCTTAGCTTTGGGAAAATGATTTTTCAGTCTGAAATACAGCACTGCAATGGCGAATGTGAACAGTTCTAATGTCAGAAGCGACAGAAAGAAGACAGATTGGGAGAGGCAGCTGTCTCTCACGTGCATTGAAACCCCTGCCCTGCCCTGCTGCCCATCTGTACTGCTCTGTGAGGACAGCATTAGCTCCGGTCTCATGCTTGGTGCTTGGGATCTGAGGCTTCTGTCTCAATAACCCCATGCTGCTCAGAAGATTTTAGGTCAGCCACAGGAATAAGGAAGACCCACCCTTGTTAGAACCTGGCGTCTGTACTGCTTGCTATATGGTGTTATGCCTGTAGCCCTGTGCCATTACAGGGCTGTATGCCATCTGGGAACTAAGCTGGAAACTTAAAACCAGACAAACACAGAGAGAGGCGGAGACATGGGTCACTCTTGATACAAGAGTGTCAAGAATGTCCCTTTTCTATATAATTATGGATGGTCTCTCAGTGTTCCCTTAGTTCCCAATCTCGATGGGGCCTCCACTGTTAGAGTTCAAAATGGTCCTGTACTACGTGCTATACAGTACACTGACTGTAGCTCCCGACCCTCCTGTAGCTCCTGTGTCACTCTACAGGACCAATTGTGCAAGCCAGGAACTTGACTGAGAAACTTAAACATACAAAGACACACACACACACACACACACACACACACACACACACACACACACAGAGAGAGAGAGAGAGAGAGAGAGAGAGAGAGAGAGAGAGAGAGAGA